GTGTGAGGTCCCTATTGAAACTGAAGGGATTATTAGGGCCCAAGAACGAAACGTGTGAGGTCCCTATTGAAACTGAAGGGATTATTAGGGCCCATAACGAAACATGTGAGGTCCCTATTGAAACTGAAGAGATTATTAGGGCCCGAGCACGAAACGTGCGAGGTCCCTATTGAACTTCCTGTGTCATGGCAAAGAGTTGATCTTGGACACCAAGCACAACCTTTCATCGTCAATGCATTTAGAATGCACAGCAGAAATTTGAAGTTGATCGGACTAAACCCCCAGGAGGAGGAGTTAAAGTATGGAGTGTGTAAATACTCCAAAAATTGACCGTAAAATTCAAAATGGCCGACTTCCTGTTGGGTTTAGGGCATTGCTCCAAGAGGCTTTTTGGTACGTCTGGACATGATACATGTGCCATAGAAATTTCATACATGTAGGTGAAACGTGCCACAGGGGTTGCTTCGTTAAAAGTCATTTCCTGTTGCCAGCAGGTGGCGCTATGACCATGGGTGAATGTTGGCATGTAGATGTGCTCAGGGCGGGACTCTTATTAAATGTGTAAAATTTCGTACAAATCTGAGCATGTACAGTAAAGTTACAACAACTTCCTGTGTCAGGGCGAAGCATGGCACTTTACCGAAAATTTTTACCACAAGTTTTACTACATGGCCTCATCAATGTGTTAAGGGTTTCCAGTTTTGAAGTTCATATGTCCAACCTGCTCGGAGTAGTACATGGTAGGTGTCATTTCCTATTGCTAGCAAGTGGCGCTATGACTTTGAGTGAATATTGGCATATGGATGTGTTCAGGACAGGACTCTCATAATGTATTCCAAATTTGGTGCAGATGTGAGCATGTAGACTGAAGTTACAATAACTTCTGAATTAATTAATATATGTAATACCCTGCAAATATACTGATTTGAAAGAAAAATGTAATGATGCAAAATTTTTAATTCTCAGTATTTTGTGGTAGGTTTCATAAATCTACCCTCTACAAAATGTTAAAATTCAACATTGAGCAAGGGCCATCAACTGATGAAGATCATACAGTACTATACTGTTAAGAGCTCCAGAAAAAAAGCTAGAGAGTGTACAGCATTGTCAAACTAAATATCCCACTAAATAAATTGTTGGGTTGTTTGGTTTGGTTGCCAGGGAGACAAGCTGTCAATAAAATCTAATTAAACCATACCTACACACTTGTGAAGATTAAATTGCTAAACTCTCATAAATGTATAGCTAAGAATGTATGTTTGTTTAATTTGAAATTTTATTATTACCGTACATAGCCTCAGACCAACAGAGGCCAGTTTGGCGATAGAGAATACCGTAGTGGTTTTCTTTCTGGATTTGGCCTTTGGTATCCCGGGGGTGAGTCAAACTAATAGGACCACAAGCTGCACGGCTAATCAAGCTAACTAGCTACAGATACAAACAGATAATGTGCACTTAGCAACACTCAACGGATTAGCAAAAAGTGAAGCTATCCATCAAGATCTTACGTCCATCAAAAGCTATGTAAATCATCTCGATACCGGATTCCTTGTTGGTATTTGAGGCTGTGTTCTGTCCTCTTCATGCCGCATTCACAAGAGGCTGCTGAGCGCTTGCCCGGCTCCAGTTACCAATCAGGCGCCACTCCCCGCCATCATTCCCTGCTGGGTCCCCCCGCACCTGGCATGAAACCCTCAAGTGCTTGTGTAAACATCTTTACACAGTCTATGGTAAACACTAACAATCCCCTGGAGCTCGGAGCTCAGTAAGGGCAGATTAAGCTAATCTGACCACTAGTTTTGCAGCTAATTATATAATGACAGCTAGTTAGCAGCAGTTAGCGGTTATTTCAGCAACAAGTATCTGTCCATCAGGAAACTCCATAATTCACAGAAAATGGCGTATAAGGATTTTCAACGGGCCAATTTTAAAATACAAAAAATGAAAATATTTATTGCAGTTGTTCAAACATTAAGAATGCTGTGTACACATAAATTAATGTAATTTTTAAAAATAAAAGATTTTAGTGTTTTTTCAGCTACATAGACTGTGGCCTTACAAAATGTCATGTGGTGTGACCATAATTTATTTTTTTAATTAATTATTTTCCTTAACATGCTTAACAGTTTTTACAAGTTCTCAGTAATATAAAAGGTTTCAGATACAATGTATTTGCTTTTCTTATGGGTTTTTGTAAATAATGATCTCATATTTTTGTTCTATAATGTCACAGTCCCATTCTTTAATGTAGTTCATTCATTCATTCATTCATTTCTCTGTAAATCACATGAAACTAATACAAATGTTTAAAAAATACCATTCACTTAAACATACTGCATCAGTAATTAATATTTCAGTCACAGGAATGAGATATTTTACACACGGTAGCTCCGCTTTAATCTTGAGAAGCTGCAGAGTTGCAGTCTCTATTCATTCAACTTACAATGTAAATTTCCAGCTAAACTGAGGCATTCACAAGTCTTGTGCAGACTTTTACGTGCATTACTGCTGCCGTCAACTACATGCACGTTGCAGTTCCCCGCGTGTCTATTTCAAGTAGCCAGCTATTTAAAAACTATAAAATATTCTTTATGTGGTTCATCAATGGTGATAAATTATCCAAAAGTCTCACGAGGAGCGAACAACTCGGCATAACACTGTGAAGCTGGGGATCGGTCTCTTGAGCAAGTGTTCCTCCACTACCACTACACACATACACGCTACGCATACACATGCGCACTGACGACCCAGGGTTAGGGTTACAATTTTGGATTTATTCTTCAAAAACATTTATTGAAAATTTTATTCTTTTTACATATTTATTTACGGCATTAAACGTTGAAATGTATATTGTAATAGGCTGTATATTAACTTATTGGGAGAAAACTGGTAGTTCTATGTAAAATCAGACGTTGAGCACCCCCATATCGCCAAAATGGCATGATCCTTGTTTCACTGCGAAGCTTCGACTGTGGGATTGACAGTCGAATCAGGCTCCGCCCATCGAAGCATCGAATCTTCGACTATTTGGGGTCAGCCCTTTCATAAACACTGTTTTGATGAAAATCACATTACAAACATTTATTTTCGTGCAGTACACATTCACGGCTTTGTTTTGAACAAACATATTACTTAACAATAGATTTAATCCAATTTCATCAACTGCAGGCATGTGGTGTTAACTGTAAGTATGTTTTTTTTCGTTTATTGGGTGTGTCAGAGGTGTTACCCAATCAGCAGCCATATTTAAAAGCCATATTTAAAGTCCAGTGCGCTACCATTTCCGTTGAAATAAATGCTTTGCTACATTTTGTTAAGGCTAAAGTTAGCTTAAAACTGAAAATAACTCTACATTTACTTGATTTCACAGGGAAATCGAACATGGTTCTCCTGTGTGAAAGTCTTGGGTTTGACACAGCCTACACAGCCAATAGAGGTCGCTCACACAAGACCAACATGTTGCTTCATTTAGTTTTCATTTAAAATTTTATTTAAGATACATTTTTTGCTTCTTTTAGCGACTCCGCTCTTGCTGCAGAGTCAGAATTAACATGCTGTCTATGGCAAGCAGTTTTTCTTTACTTGGCAGTGGCAACAGTTATTAATAATTAAATATTACTAATGTTGCATAGTTACCAAAGTGAAACTACAAGCTTTAAATATATATATATATATATTGCATTTTTCTCATGATATTGTACAAAGACTAAAAATAATCCGTTGTTCTGAAATACAAGGAAGAGTGTGTCAAATTGCAGAAAAATGTATTCCAAATCATACTACAATAAAAGTACTTTATATGTAAAAGTCATCAATTGAATATAAAAGGACAAAGACTAAATTGCCTATCATGGAAAACACTCTGCAATGGTCGCACCACATGATACTTTATACTTCAGTCAAAATTTATAGGCACAGAATAGGCCACCTAAACAAATCAAGCGGGCTTCCTACAAAAGGACTCCAGAAAATTTATAATCAAAACAAATATTGGTAGAAATAACTTTATATTAAATGTTTTTCTTTGGTCATACCACATGATATCCAAAAGTGGCAAAGTTATTACAATTTTACAGAGTTCAGAACAAACCTACTTGCTGTTTCAGTGGGTCCTTGGCAAATTCGTATATTATTCGCATGACATTTTAACACTTCAATTATCCGAAAAATTACAAAAAACTAATTTTTAAAAAAAAGTTAAAATGAGTACATATATGGGAGAGGTCCTGTATTTATATGGTATGTTTTTATGCTTTCAAACTTTTTTTAAATGAAAAAAATCCAGTTGGACAGAAAATGTTGGCGTCACGTCATTGACCATCGAGGCACATTAGAGAGAACCAGAAAATATTGTCACCATCAAGTATCATCAGTCGGGCCCTGTCACCACCAGAAACACTATGCTTCCTCATAAAAACTGAGAAAGCTTTTCATTGGATGCTCATACACGCCCCGAATGCAGGATGAGTCAACAATATTTTAAAGTCGTTTTACAGTCGTTACAGAGGAGAATGGAAGTAGTGTTGTGATTACATCATGATAACTGTTTCCTAACTTCAGTGAACAAGATAATTAAATTGTTTTCTCTGCCTGCATCTTATAAATGAATATCTGAACCACATATTTTTTATTTTTAATCAAGTCAAGTCGTGATTATCTCAACAAATTTTAAAGACAATCAATTTACTATTACTGAGTACTACTCAGTTGTATAATGTCTCTGGAGGAGCTTTGTCAAGTGTGAGGAAATAATGCTGATAATAGATGCCTGCATTAGTGGGTAGAAATCATCCAAAAGCATTCATTCAAAAATATAACAGCGACTTACTGAAGACTGCATCACACTACATGCATTCACTTAGCTGATAATATAATAATAATAATAATAAGTTAAGTTGGGTGGTTTAAGTTCGATCGATTTTGTGTGTGTGTGTGTGTGTGTGTGTGTGCTGGGTGGGGTGCTAGGCAGGCCCCTCCATGACTGAGAATAATACACTTACGATATGTAGGCTGGATAAAGAAAGCCGATGAGGTTACACAGTAGGGAGGCTCCGTAACCGATGACCAAGTAAACTGCGATGATACCGATCACAGCTGGAACAAATATATATTATATAGAACATATTATAGGCCATGCATATTACAACAATTAGCTACTACTATCATAAAACAACAGCAATATTTCGTTTCTTTCAGTTAGATTATGATTAAAGGTAAATGCGGCTGAATGCCACGAGCCGTCCTTTAGGCTACAGGCTATCTTTTCCTCTGCAGTGCACTCGGTCTCTTACTGTTTTCTATTCCATCCCTGTCCCTGTCAACACTCACCGAGAGCGATGTACGTCCTGCTTACTCCAGTTTTTGCCTCTACTTTTGCCAGCAAATCTGTCACGAGATTCTTTTCATGAAGAAACTTTTCAAATCTTTCTCTGAGTCCCTGCGCCATGGCTGCACTTCCTTCTTTAGCGATGCTGATGAATTACGAAAATGTTCTGAATCAAACTGCGACACCCTCAAACCAATACGGAGCTCGGAAGCGTGGAGTCAGACAGGATGTACAATACAAACTCCGGCCACAGGCTTCAAAGTAATAGCACGGGGTTTAGGTCATTATCCTTTAGTCATAAAACTAGATACTTTCTCATCACGTTGGTAATGTTTAGCCCCATGGTGGAAGGAGGAGACATGAGGTGCTTCTCAAGTCTCTCTTTTTCTTTTTTCTTTTCCTCTGCAATTCAAAAGCAAGTACAAAGTGCAAACATAGACCAGGGGTTAATATATAAATTTAAAAAAAGAAAAAGAAAGAAAGTAATTAGCAGTTCAGGTAATTAAGAAGTTTACATATATCGAGAGTCCTTAAGGCTTTGGGGTTTGAAGAGTGCTGAATAGTTTGTATGTATTGTTGCAATTCACTCGTAAATACAGGTTTGCGGTTGCAAAATTTACTTTTGTGAATGTGGATTTTAGCTAAAATAATGAGTTCCGAGTAATCTAATAGATCCAGAACCAGCCTAACATTGTTTTAAATTTGTCTGTTAGACATAAACCCTGACTGTGATTCGTCAATTATTGTGGTTAAGGTCGTTTTAATTCTATTGGCAAGAATAAGAGCAAATACTTTGTAGTCGTTATTGAGCAAACAGATAGGGAACCAGTTTTCTATCAAAAGTAAGTCTTTTTGGGGGTTTTGGGATGAGGGTGATAAGGCCTTGCGATAATGTAGGTGGCAGCCTTCCAAATTAAATACTTTCAGAAATGAGATTGAAAAGAAAGGGGGTCAGTTCATTATGGAACTTCATATAAAATGGGCGTGTCCCTGGCGTGGCGTCAAAAACCAACTCTTCGCCACGACACAGGAAGTTGTTGTAACTTTAGTGTACATGCTCACATCTGAACAAAATTTTATGTGCTTGATAACTGTCCCACTGTCTAAACCCATTAAAAGTTGTGCGAATGGTGAGGCGTTCATGGAACGGCGTGCCTGTGGCGTGGCGTCCAAAATCGATGATTCGAAATTTCTGTGGCACATGTATCATGTCCAGACGTACCAAAAAGCCTCTTGGAGCGATGCCCTAAACCCAACAGGAAGTCGGCCATTTTGAATTTTACGGCAATTTTAACGTACTCCTCCTAGGGATTTAGTCGGATCGACTTTAAATTTCTGCTGTGCCTTCTAAAGGCATTGACGATGAAAATTTGTGCTATTTGTGAGTTTTCATCAATGGGCGTGTCCGTGGCGTCCAAAATTGATGATTCGCCGTGAAACAGGAAGTTGTTATAACTTCAGTGTACATGCTCACATCTGCACCAAACTTTACGTGCTTGATAACAGTCCCGCCCCGAACACATCTGCATGTTCATTTATAGTCGTAGTGCTATGTAGCGCCATAAAGGGGACACAGGAAGTGATGATTAACAGGTTTGTTCAGCGTCCGAAGCCTGTTGGAAATTCACAGCCACACTGGCAGAGCTCCAGAATCTGCAACGTGGCCGCCTCACACCTCGACACGCTACACCCAATGCTGCTTGCAGCTTTAATTTAAGTTTGGATTTTTCTAAACAAAAAAAATAAGAAGAGTTTGCTCACCTTCTTCCAACCACTTCCTTCTTGATCTACCCCCTGGGCCTTTTGTCTGTAGAATTCATCTAACTTGTTTTGGCATTCACTAAGCTGGAGTAACTCCTCCTGAGAAAGGTTTTCGGTAGTCTTATCAGATAACGATGCAATTTGACATAACAGCCTATCTTCTTCCTGTCGTCTAAGTTTAGCTAAGTTGCTGCCATATATTAGCCTATTTCAAATTTCTCCCATTGTTGACCAAATAACGTTTTCTTACAGGCTTCTTCCCAGTGAGACTTGATTAGATTTGTAATATCATTTATGACATTTTTATGTAAAAGAAGGCTATTATTAAGCTGCCAGCAAAAGGCTCTAGGAATATGTAGAGCAGTAGAAACCTTAATCTTCAAAATAATTGCCTTATGGTCAGAGAAGGGAGCAGCATGGACATAAATGTGTATATTGTCCAAGTCAAATTTCTGAGAGACAAGCCAATAGTCAAGTCGAGATTGTTTGGAGAGGTCTTTGGAGCTCCAGGTGTAAGATTTAGATAAAGGAAATTTTTCTCTCCATGGATCGATTAGATAAAATTTCTCCATGAGATCTTTAAGGTGCGAGTTGGTTAGATTGGATCTCTTTGGTGGAAATCTATCCAAATAACTGTTTAATACAACATTAAAGTCCAAAAATCAAAAAAGAATTAGGGAACTTGTTCAACAAGTAAAGTGTTTTTTCTTCTAGTATATCCAACAAAGCATCATTTTCAGAGCAAGTATTGTAACCGTAGATGTTAATTATAATAAGTGTTTTTTGACAAAAAGAGAGCACCATAATGATAAAGTGTCCGTGTGGGTCGTTGCAATGGTGAATAATCTCACCAGAAAAGTTGTCTTTCAAAATAGTAACACCAGCTGACCTTTTAGATCCATGAGCTCCCCATAAGTCCTTGCCCCACTGAGTCCTCCAAAAAGGCAAGTCGTACTTGGTGCAGTGAGACTAGAAACAGAAAACAGAAATCACTTTTAAACTTCTTGATAAATAAGAAAACTGCTTTGCAATTCAAATTATTTCTCAGACCCCTGGCATTAAAAGAAAGAAAAGATAAAGACATAAAGATGTCAAAAAAAAAATAACACCTCAAGATATAAAATGAGTGAGAATTCCCTATAACAGTTCACAGGCCTGTTCACAGACTCGGTTGGATTTAGATAACAGCATAGGAGAACCTGCCATAGTATTAAAGAGCTCAAAATGCAGATTAGAAAGTTGCTTAATGAGATCTAGCTCAACTTCACATGGCAGATTCTGGAACCAGTAGACACTGCTACCATACTAGGTGCTCACTGTGGTAATGGCTGGCAGGGGAATCTCAGTGCCATTAGCAAATACACCGTTTTGCCAGCAGCACGGCCCTCCTTAACCAGAGGCCAGAGTGTCTTCTTTCCAGTTCAGTTGGGGTGTGATCCTCTGCAAACCGCAGGTTGTTGTCCTTCAGGAACGTGGATGTTTTAGCTGCCTTCCATACAGTATCTCTCTGGGTGCGAGAGGAGAACTGCATAATGACGACTCGATGTTTCCCTTTGTTGTGATCCCTCTTACCCAGTCTGTGAACAACGTTTTTCCTTCACCTCTGAGCAGACTTACTGGCAAATACGGTGAACTTCAGCTTTGATGTCTTTGCGTACTTTTTTCTACTGGCACAATGCTCATATTATCTGCATTTATATTTATTAATTCTGATTTATTTTATATCGGCTTTATTTTCCTTTGCTTGCTTCATTAGAGTCTTAAGTGCAGTTTAGTGACTTGTCCCACTCCTAACTTGTTTACTATGTTTATAGTCATCTATTTGGACTAAACGACCAGCCTCACGTGACCGAATAGAAATTACGATAAATTATGAAAACGCACTGGGTTGATTGAGCCTGAGGTGGGAAACTCTGAATTTTCGGTTCCACAACAGCTGATCAGAATAAGTTCAGTCAACTCTGAGTATGTTGAGCCTGATTGAAGCGCGTGCGTGGGGATGAAAAAAAACCATCATCAATGGAGCTCCGATACTACAATTCGCCATTGCAATGGGTAAATATGGTGCGTTCCATTTACCTCGGAAGTTGGAGGTCGGAATGACGTCACACCCAAGTTGACGGTGTTCCAGTTACAAGTCGGAAAACCTCACTCAGACGGCCGTTGTTCACAACTAGCCAGGTTAGCTATTGATATGCCGGTTGATAAAAAAAAAACATTGTGCGGTATTTACTCACTTTACTAAACACTGTAGCAACACGACCACAGACAGCTGTTAGACAGCACTTTGTGTACGAACATTTCTATGAGACACAAGTACACAGAAGTGCTAATAAATAGTATAAACTACAGCTTTCACTAACTGTTGATACCCCGACAGCCATCTTGGATTACGAAGTCGGGGTGGGGCGATTCTCCCGACTTCCGAAGTCGGGATTCTGACTTAAGGGGGCGTTCCCTTTGAAATTTTGACCTTTGAACTCGGAAATTCCGACTTCTCATGTCAAATGGAACGCACCAATAAAGGCAGAGCTTCCATTTTAATCGGGTGGAGCTAGAAATATGAATGCTGCCAACGCGGACCCTGATAGGCGCTAAAGCGCAGGAGTGGAAGAAGATTGAATGCGTTTTAGGCTATACACAGCGTTGCTCATTCATCATCTACCAGACTTGTGATGGAAATTTGATATTTTACTGTGTTTACTGAACTGTGTTCACCCTGCATGCTTCATCAGAATAGACCAGTGTTTCACTGTGTGGTATTTGATTATTTTATTATGTTACAGCTAGGTGAAGTTTCCCATGGGAAATGCTCGTTAGAGAGTTTTCTTATCTGACTGTCCTTGATAGGCCTTCATCTCAGGACAGCTGGTCCCTACTCCCTTCCTCCCTTGGATAGCTGCGTAATACCCTTACAGTATAAAGTCACCTGCCTCTTCACTGGCTCTTTGTCTTAGACTCTGCAGACTGTTTTGCACTCTGTATGTTTGTCTGACCCTTGGCAAAAAGTAAAACCCTTAAAAGACGTCTCTTTATTTCAGAAGACTCACTAAAGGACATATTTCCATTTCAGACTGTAATTTCCTTAATGATGATAAAGTGCTACAGCCCATTACATTCGATTTTAAATAGGAAGACTATATTTATTAAGCTGTAACCCGACGGGATAAAATGCCGGTGGCAATCGGCTGCCTGATTATGAAAATAGGTAGGCTATAGATCAAATATAAGACACAGTTTACTCGTGAACCTGTGATTGTAAAGTCACAGTCACACCCAGCAGGTTAGTTCAAACTGACTGTAAAGCTTTAGACGATACGATAGGAATGTTCCAATCAGTGCAACTAGCCTACAATATGAAAGATTGCTGTTCATTGATCAGTTTTATAGGTTACATATTAAACAGTGATTACTGCAGAAATGGAGCCCACAGTAAGTA